GAGCCCTGAGCCCTGAGCCAGGGGGACACAAGGACGTGGGGCGCGGGGGATGTGTCACCCCAGGGGCGGTGACAGCGCTGGCGCCGGTGGTGCCGGCAGTGTCACCAATGAGGACTGTGAGGAGCACGGTGATGGCGAGAGTCGTGGTGACGGTGACAGTGGTGGCAGTGACAATGGTGGTGCCAAGGACAACGGAGTCATGGTGACCATGGCAGTGACAGTGATGGTGGTCGCAGTGTTGACAGGACAGTGATGGTGGTGATGGCAACTATGGTGGTCATGGTGCCAATGGAGGTACCAGCGTTGAGGATGATGGTGGTGATGGTGGTCAGTGATGCCAACGGGGATGGTGGTGATGGTGACAACAGCAGCACTAGTGATGACTGGAGTGACAACAATGATGGCAGGAAGAGTGACGGTGGTGGTAGCAATGACGGTGCCATTGATGGTGACATCTATGGGTCCATCAATGGTGATGGTCGTGATGGTGGCAGTGATGGTAACAGTGGTGGTGGCAGTGAGACGATGGTGCCGTGACGGTGATGGTGCCGTGATGGTGACGTGTTGGTGATGGTGACATGAGGATGATGGCCCCATGATGGCGATGGTGCCATGATGGTGGCGTGTTGATGATGGTGGCGTGATGGTGGCGTGTTGATGATGGTGGCGTGAGGATGATGGCCCCGTGATGGCGACGGTGCCATGGTGGTGACGTGATGGTGACGTGTTGGTGACGTGTTGGTGGTGGTGACGTGAGGATGATGGCCCCGTGTTGATGATGGTGACGTGTTGATGATGGTGCCATGGTGGTGCCGTGATGGTGACGTGTTGATGATGGTGGCGTGAGGATGATGGCCCCATGGTGGCGATGGTGCCCTGATGGTGACGTGATGGTGACGTGCTGGTGACGCTGCCACCTGCAGTTCCTCTGCCTGAAGAACATCCGGACCTTCCTGGCTGCCTGTGCAGACAAGTTTGGGCTCCGCAAGCACCAGCTCTTCGGCGCCTTCGACCTCTTCGACGTGCAGGATTTCGGCAAGGTGGGACCGGCGGTCTGGCCCATGTCCCCGGACAGGGGCCCAGGTGTCCGGGGACCTGTCCCACCCCGCTGTGACCCCCGTCTGTCTCCAGGTCATAGACACCCTCTCAACGCTCTCATGGACCCCCATCGCGCAGAGCAAAGGCTTCACGTGAGTGCGAGGGGCCCCGGCATCCGGGACCCCATTTCTCACCCAAGGGGACCCCATGGGGGGCCCCGGCGTCCGAGCACCCGCCACCCACAGGCCCTTCCCGGCCGAGGACAGCGTTGGGGACGACGACGTCTACAGCGGCCTCTCGGACGTCATCGAGTGAGTGGGGCTGGGTGGGGACAGAGGTACCGGGGGCTATCGAGGGGCTTTGGAGGGACATTGGGGTACTGGGGGGTATTAGTGGAGTGTTAGGGAGTACTGAGGGGTATTAGAGGGGAATTAGGGACTATGAGGGGTATTAGAGGGGTATTGAGAGGTATTAGAGGAGTATTAGGATGTATGTGGGAATATTAGGGTGCATTGGGGGTATTAGAGGGGCATTGAGGGTATTAGAGGTTATTAGAGGGAGTATTTGCAGGTATTAGAGGGGAATTAGGGAGGATTGAGGTATTAGAGGAGTATTGAGGGGCACTAAGGGGGTGTTAGGGAGTATTGGAGACATTAGAAGGGTACGAGAGAGCATTGAGGGGCATTAAAGGGGTATTAGGGAGTACTGAGAGGTACTAGAGGGTAACTGGGGGTAATAGAGAGTAGTTGGATTGGAGACACATGGGGCGTGATGGGATCTATGGGCTATTACGGGGCCCAGGCAGCTCTGGGAGTACTTTGGGGTACCAGGGGGTTCTTGGGGGTATTTTGGGGTCCTGAGTGGGTATGGGGGGTACTTGGGTACTTTGGGGGTACCGGAGGTACTCGGGAGCACACTGGGGGTATGTTGGGGTTCTGGGAGGGTTCTTTGGGGGCACCTTCAGGTACTTGGGTGGCACTTTGGGGCACTTGGGGGTACTCCGGGGCCCCGTGGTGCGGCAGTGGGGCAGCACTGGGGCTGGCACAGCGACACGGCGGAGGAAGACGACGACCTCTACGACTGCATGGAGGCCGAAGGCACCGACGGCGACGACATCTACGAGGACCTGATGCGCACGGAGGCCCCCGGGCCCGCGGTGAGCGCCCGGACGCCGGGGCCCCTCCCGGACGCCGGGTCCCCTTCTGAACCGGCCCTGTCCCCGCAGCACAAGGCGCCTGGGGTGGACAAGCAGCTCTGCTGCCTCCAGGAGATCTGGCAGACGGAGGAGAAGTACACGGAGACGCTGGAATCCATCTGCCAGGTGGGATGAGGACAAGGAGGGCCCTGTCCCCACCCTCAAAGGGGAACGGGGACAGAAGGAGGGACGTGGGGACAAGGATGGCGACGTGGGGATATGGGGACAGGATGTGGACGTGGAGCTGGGTTGAGGATGGGACAGGTTTGGGGATGGTGGCCTGGGGACTGGTCCGTGAGGAGGAGGTCATGGAGACATTGGGACGGGAATATGGGGACACAGGGATGGGGACATGGGGGTGGGTTGGGGTTGGGAATGGTGGCCTGGAGGAGCACATGGGGATGGGGTCATGGAGGCATTGGGGAAGGGATATGGGGACATGGGGTTGGGAACGTGGGAAGAGGACAGGGGTGGGATTGAGGACACGGGGATGGGAACAGGGATGGGGACACAGGGATGGAGACACAGCGATGAGGCTGGGGACACCGGAATGGGATTGGGAACATGGGGACAAAATCCCCCGGGGCAGTTGAGGGGGGGGTCCCAATCTGCCTCCCCGCAGTGACTTCAGAGCCCCCCCGTGCCCAAGCAGTGTCCCCAGTGTCCCCTCCCGGGGCTCCCAGTGACCCCCTCTCCCCCCTTTCCCAGCACTTCCTTCGGCCTCTCCGACGCTTCCTGCAGCCCCAGGACCTGGAGAGCATCTTCATCAACATCGAGGTGCCCCGGCGCCCCCAGGGACCCCCCCAGTGTTCCCAGGGACCCCCCAGTGTCCCCAGTGACCCCCCCAGTGTCCCCGGTGCTCCCAGTGACTCCCACGGATCCCTCCAGTAACATTCCAGCGCTCCCGGTGCTCCCAGGAATCCCCTTCCCATGTCAGGAGAGACCCCCTATTGGGTGACCTAGGGTGGGGGCCCAGGAGATCCCTGGTGGGGGGGTTGTCACTTGGAGGGGCTCCCAATGTCCCCTTGTCCCCGGGGGTGTCCCAGGTGTCCCTGTGCCCTTGGGGGATCCCAGTGTCCTTGGGGGAGAGGGGAGGTTGATCCTGGTGCCCCCAGAGTGTCCCGATGTCCCAGGGGGTCACAGTGTCCTTGGGGAGGGAGGTCCCCAGAATGTCTTGGTGTCCCTGGAGTGTCCCCAATGTCCCTGCCGGGTGTGGGGGGGTCCAGGGTCCTCAGCGGTGTCCCTGGGGGGGTGTCCCCACATCCATGGGGTCCCTGGGGGGGTCTTGGTGTCCAGGGTGTGACATGGCGATGCCCCCCCCGCCCTTTCCCAGGACCTGCTCCAGCTGCACCGGCAGTTCCTGGCGGATCTGCGGGAGGCGCTGGGGGGGGGCGCGGGGGTCCGG